TTCCTACTTCACAGTTTTTCACTTATCGTGGGTCTTCAGGGTACGGATCCCCAGTGATAAATGAGGGACTACTGTATAAACTAGGGATCAGCTTCAGCTTCTCCTACACAAATTTTAGCTCAATATCTGTAAACGCGAATCAGTTATAACCACTTATGTGTCTTCTAAGAGCCTTTGCCATCTTAAATCAGGTTGATTCTAAAAGTTAAGCAGTTGTACATCCAACTTTAGGATAGTTTAATAAAAATGTGTCCAGTTGTTCATCACGGCAAATAAAGACACAAACACATTGTCACACTTTTGCCATCGGCAGCAAGACTTCATCAGTCCGATGACATCAATCCGAACTGGACTGATGAAGTCTTATGGATGAAAGATGAAACGTCTCAACAAAAAAATAAACCGTCCAGACGACCTGACTGAACTGTTGGATTTTTTTACCTGGATTATTGAGCATGAGGTCAGGAAGCATGTCAAACTGTCTCGTCCAAAATGTCGGACTCCCTCCTTGCATCCTTGTGCTTTGGTTTCCTTTTTGCTGCTACAGCTCTCAAAGCTGGTTTCTGCAAATGGTATTTAATATTGATGTGTCTGGATGTTGAAGTCTTGGCCGTGGCATTTGTTTCAGACCAGTCCAAGTGTGTTCTGTTGCACTTTAGCTCCAGACAAATGGACAACTACAGTAGTTTCTGTTTTATGGCTCGGTTCAAAGAAACATTTCCCCCACTATTTTGTGAAAACAGAGACTGCACACCAGCGCAGAGGCCTTTCAGGAAAAGTGCTTATGAAATAGTTTAGGTTTGCAGCAGCGGATGAAAAATTAATAGATTCTTTATGTGTTTGCAGAGTATCTTCTCGCAGTTCCAGTTCAGCAGCGAGCGAGTTCTGCCATCTGATGCACTGCGGAGCGCTTTGGCCAAGACGTTCCAGGACGAGCAACGCTTTCAGCTGGGCATCATGGACGACGCTGCCGAGTGCTTCGTGAGTCTGCAGCACCACATGGCTGCACACGAACACCAAACGACAAACAATAGACAGTAATCATCTTTTCTGCCGTTGATATTATTGCAATGCAGAAACAATTGGGGAGGATTCATTTTGTTATGAAACTAAAATTAAATATTTTTGGCAGAAAAAGTAAAAAAAAAAAAATCTTAGTCTTGTCTCAACATTATAACTTTTTCCTTTCAATAAAGTTGCAACAAACAGTCAATTTTACATCTATTGATATAAAATTTGGCAGTAGATAAGACTCATCCCCACCACGTATTTCCAGTACTGAGAAACTGTGAAAGATCGTTTAAAAAAAATTGCCATCAAATATTTGAAGTCAACTCGTTCTGTTAACAAAATATCTCATGAACAGATGTCTTTTAATTAAACTTTCAGGAAATGTTCACTGGATATATCTCTGAAACTGATTATCTTTTGGATCCAACCAATTTCAAGTGCATTGATTCAGTCAGCCGACAGTAGCAAACAAACGTTTCTATAATTCAGTCAGTAAAACTTTGTGGTCGTAGCTGAAATGCATTCACAACACATACACCAAGAACTTCTACTTGTGAAAGATATTTGCCTTAAACCTTAAGCATTAACTAATGGAGTTCACCCTGTTTGTCTGTTAGCAAAATATCTCATGAACCACTGAATAGACAGCAATGAAACCTTCAGAAAGTGATCATTGGATGCACATCTATAATATATTATCATTTGGAGTCAATTCAATTCTAGAGGTTCTCCACAGCTAATCAGCCTTAGCAAACAAAACAAATTATTATAACAGTCACTTTTACAAATATTGAACTGAATTTGGTTTGGCCACAACTGAGAGTCATTCACATCTAGGCCTGTCGCGATAAACAATAAATCAATTAATCGCATGTTAAATGAAAATTATCGACCTAATTTTCATTTATTGGCTTTATTGTTCCTTCGTGTCTCTCTCTTTCTACTAAAGACCCTGGATGACAAAAAGCTCAACTCCAGTACTCTCACTGTCCCGCCCTTTCTCTTTTCTCTTTAAAATCTGTTTTAACCGTCCAAAATCGTGTTTTTGGATCGTTAAAAGCAGCTAAGTTGAGAAGCTAGGCTACAAGCTAAGCTAACAGGCCGATCTCGGGGAAAAAAAAATCTCCATTTTGTCGAAGCTCGAAAATTTGCAGATGAAATCCGTGCCTTCGTCTAAAATTTGTTTTGCTCTGCAAAAAGAAGCTAAGAACTTGTTTATTAAATACATCAAAGGAAAGTGAATTATGATACAAATCTGAACTCATTTATGCCAACATATTTCTATGTAAATAATAGTGTGAATGCTTATAAAGCATTCACACTATTGCCATCCTGTTTATATTTATTGTTATTATGGGTTCTATATTTTTGAACATTTTTCGGCATCGCTCTTGTTCCACAATTTGTGCTACTTCAACAAATCATAGATCAAAACATTCAGCTCTTTCAGGACAATCCTTTTATGACTTTTGGTATTGGAGCAACTTTAGCTTTTTGAAATATTTAACCTTTTCTGCCATTTCTTTCATAGGAAATGAATTGAGCTCATGTGACGTCCTTCAGCTCTTTAGATCTGTTTACAACCTTTTACTGCTCCTTTCACATTTTGTTCTGGTTCAGCTTCTTTCAGCTTCCTTGGGCAAATTTTAACTTTTTCCCCGCTACATTCAACTACTTTAATCTGGTTATTCAGCCGTTTTTTGCTGCCTTCAGATTCTTTCTGCTAACTACAACATTTTTGTGTTTTTTCTAACTCCTTTCTGCTTGTTATGCTCCTTTCTGCTTATTTCCGCAAGTTTCAGCCTTTTCTACTATTTAAGCTACTATTGAGCTGTTTATGCTAATTTAAGCTTTCTTAGCCAGTTCCACATTTTTTGCGCTCATTTAAACTTTTCCAGGCTAATTCAGCAAAACATCTGCTCTCTCCACTTCTTTCTGTTAATTTAAGCTTCTTTCTGCCTTTTTAAGCTATTTTTCAGCTGTTTTTGATCATTTTGGTTATTTTCAGATAATTTCCACTTTTTGTGCTAATTTCTGTTTCTTTCAGCCCAATTGTGCAAAACTGTGCTTGCTCCACTTCTTTCTGGTAATTTAAGCTTCTTTCTGCTTTTTAAGCTACTATCCAGTTGTTTTTGGCAACATTTTTCTTTTTTTCTAATAATTTCCACTTTTTTGTGCTAATTTCTGCCTCTTTATGCATAATTGGGCACAATTGTGCTCTTTCCACTTCCTTCTGGTAATTTAAGCTTCTTTTTGCCTTTTCAGCTAGTTTAAACTATTTCTTGCTAATTTCAGACATTTTTCTTCAGCTAATTTTCTAATTTTTGTGCTAATTTCTTCTTATTCAAACCAAATACAGAAAATTGGGTTATTTCTGCATTTTTCTGCTAACTTAGGCTTGTTCTCCCATTTCAGCTACAATTTCAGCATGTCAGCTGTTTTTCAGCAAGTTCTTCAGCAATAAGCACTCACACTGTATTTTCATAGGAAATGCAATTTCTCTGGTTCACTTAATCTTTTTATGATTACGCTAATATTTATTGCCATAAAAAAGGGAAAAATGCTACAATTATCAATATTTTAAAATATGACGAAAGAGACAATAACATATTAATACCATGTTGGTGAAAGTTAAAGATAAAGGTTTGTTTTTTTTTATCTTGAAACTACCCACATTACGCTTTCAGCTGTTCTTCTTGGTTCCTAACCACCAATTTCAGTGTTTTTCTCTGCCTTTATAGTTCAGACCCACACTGTGTGTGTGTCTGGTCTTTGTGTGTGCGTGTGTGCATGTTTTATGTGTGCTCCTGAGAGCTGCTGTCTGATCGATTGGTAGTAAATGTGTTCAGTCAGGGAATCCGTCGGCTTCATATGAAATATAGATGCTGCTCCCACGGTCAGATTAACACGAGTGCCAACAGAGAGGAGTGATCACACTCACCAAACGCACACACTCTGTGTGTACAAAACCACACCGCTCATAACTGCAAACTTTGTGCCACGTGTTAGGAGAATCTCCTCATGCGGATCCACTTCCACATCAGTGCGGAGAGCAGGGAGGACATCTGCACAGCCAAACACTGCATACCACACCAGAAGTTCGCTATGACTCTGTTCGAGCAGGTGGGAGAGCGTTCACCCATTCCGTTTCTTTAAAGCACCTATTGTTGAGGGCCTGGATGAGAAATGTGCTCTGTAATGAATCCCAGGATGTCTTTGTGTTTGCAGTGTGTGTGTAACAGGTGCGGAGCCACATCGGACCCCCTGCCCTTCATTCAGATGGTCCATTATATCTCCACCACATCCCTATGGTAAAACCGAGCACACACCTACACACACATGCATGCTAACACACAAAATGCAGTAAATCTTGTGGCAAGCTGTGATGAAATGACAGTAAAGCGAGTGTGTTCCTCTGCACGGGTCTGTGAGCATGAAAATGTAAACACATACATCATGCGTACACGTGAACATTCATGCATATGCAAGAGCAGGTGAGCTTCTGCATAATGTCCTCCATATATAAAAAGAGGATGGCAGGTAAATCAACACAGGATAGTGTTTGTGAGCTGGGAAAACCTTCAAGTTAATGAAATCAGGAGCGGGGAAGTAATTAATCAGGTGTTTGATTCGGTACACCTAGGGGGCAACGGTAATCTATAAGTAAAACAGTGAGCCTGAACAAGAAAATAAGAGGACGCATCAGCTCTTCAGCAAATTAAACAATGCAGAAAACCAAAAAGTGCAAATAAATACACAATTCAAAATTATTGTAGATCACTGAGGTGCCCTAATGTGTGTGTTAGTTCCAATAAGCTGCTTTAAACCTCACTGAGGGTTGTTTTTTTTAAGACTAAAAAACACACAAAAATTAAATGAAATCATCATATGGAAAATAATCTAATGACAACAAAAAACTCTGACATGAGAGCATGTTCTAAACTGCTGTTCTATTGTTAGGCTTTTTTTTTTTGTAAATTGAGAGCATGCAGAGAAGAGTTTCATTTCAAGGTATTGGAAGGGATGAGGAGAGTTTTTTTTTTTAAATTGTTATTCATAAAAAAAAAAAAATAATAGCAATTCAATTGAAAAATAATTCCAAAAACACAAAATATCAAACCTAGTTCAGTGCCTGAGGCAGAGTTGGTCATTTTGTATTCATAGAAGAGGATATTATATATTAGACTTTATCCTTCAGAGTACAGTATATTAAAAAAACAGTAAAATGCAAATTAGTATTAAAATGTTATCGCTTTAAGCATTGCTGAAGAAATCACAGTTTTGTCTCCTGAGTAAAGCTTTTTATGCTCATTTAGATTAAATCATTATTCACTTATCCTAATGTTGATATAAACCTAGCATAAAAAGTGGAAATTTGTGTTTGGTTGATCATTTCTTGGTTGTAACAATGCTTCTTGGCAATAAATATGTTACCGTTTGAAAGCTTGTTGTTTGTCTTCAATGGTGCCAGGTTCGTTGGGAAATTACATGTGTGGGTATGTGGGTTGCTCTGCTTTTTTTTTTTTTTTGCTAAATAACATCAATTCTTTGCCAAACAATTTATTCTGATACTGCCTCTTGTTTAGCGTTTATTGTAATGGATGGTTGAATTCTCAAGAAACGAGACATGTTGGTTTCTCAGGCCATACTCTCAGTTGGTTTTCTAATTACCTTTCAGACTGAAGGCAATACGTTCAACATAATGGTACACCATTATTGACAGTTGAATAGCTGAAAGAAGTACCACAAGGCTCAGTCTTAGGTCCCACCTTCTTCACAATTTACATAAATAATGTAGGTCAGATCATTCCTGTTGCATCCTTACATTTCTATGCCGACGACACAAACAGTTGCTAAGGTTTTCCAACTTTTACAGTCTGCATTCGACATCATCCAGTCAGATTTGTTCCATCTCAAACTTGTGCTAAATGCTGATTAAACCAAAGGGATGTTGTTTTCAAACAGGAAGTTGCTACCAGCAGTCCTTCCTTCTATCCAACAAATGGTGTTCCTATTGACTTTGTTGATTCTTACAAATACTTGGGAATTTTGGTCAATGCACATCTCTCTTTTAAGCCTCATGTCAAAAACTTGGTAAAGAAATTGAAATTAAAATTGGGTTTCTTTTACAGAAATAGATCCTGGTTAACTTTGAATGCTAGGAAACACCTTGTTACTGCTACTTTCCTTCCCTCCATTGGCTATGGTGACATTATTTACATGAAAGCTCCTGCAAGCACATTAGATGTTGGATGCAGCTACCACACCCATCACTGCACCCTGTATTCATTGGTCAAGTGGTCATCATTACCTTCGCACAGACTGGTACATTTTCATCTTTAAATCAAGACATCATTACTTTCAGTGTACCATCAGTGCAGACTGAATCTGGCAAAAGGGCCTTCTCTTACTCTGCTCCTGTTTCCTGGAACACCTTGCAAAAAGATCTGAAGCTCTTGACCTCTCTAAGGGATTTTAACAAACTCTTAAGTTCATGGCAAAAATCATCGCAGACATGTTCCTGTTTTTAGTATTTTACACCATTTTATAATGTAGCATGTTTTGTTGTTTTGTTTTATATCACTTCTTTTGTGTGCTTTTCATTTTATATGCTTTCATATTGATTGTTGCGTGTACCTCATATATGGGTTTTGCTTAAAACTGGTCTCTCTTGTAAATGAGTCCTCATGACTCCATGAGACTAACCTGTATAAATAAAGGTTGAATGAATGTTGACAATGTAAAAAGATATGTTTTAACAAATAAGGACCCCAGTAGCATGTGGAAGAGCTGTGCACAACCACAACTGCCTTGCTCCTTGTCCTAATGCTGCTTGGTCACACACGTCTGTGGGAGGGGTTCCCATTCTTCAACCAGCATTTGCTGCAAGTAAACTAATGTGCTTGTGTTGGTCACTCTGGAATTAACACATCCAGGCTAATCCCACAGGTGTTTAGTGGAGTTGAGGTCAAGACTGCAGGCGGGCCTTTCCATCCTTCCACTCCAAAATTCTGGAGGTAGTCTCTGATAAAGCCACTTTGTGGGATCGAGCATGGGCCTTTGGGAGGATGGAGTTCAGTCTCAGACCTGGAACATGTGGGATTGCCACTGGTTGCTCACAGGAGATACACACAATTGAGGTACTAGGAGCTCAAACCAAGAGTCATAAGCAGAATAAGATGTTTGGCATAGACAGAGAGGATTCAGCAAGTTTTTCATGGGTGCAACCAGCTCAACCCAGAAAGTATTTTTTAACAAGCAAGGTTACAACAAAGAAAAAGTCAAGCAAAGACAAAACAAATCCCTTATTTTTGCGCTGTTTAGTTTTGCTTCTTGAGGTGAACCTGTATTTATCTGTATTTATTCATTCATTCATTCAACCTTTATTTAAACAGATAAATCACATTGAGCCTCGAAGACTCATTTACAAGTGAGACCTGTTTGGACAGACAAAAAACTTATAATTCTAGTTTCATTTTACTTTTGCTTCTCCTATTTGTTATAGTTTACTTTTTAACCTAAAGAGAAAAACTCTGGGATTGTCTCAGAATCAGCAGACGTGTCGTACAAGTTTCATTTTTGACGCGTTCTTCATTCCTAGCAAAAGTAATGAAAGGCAGTATTAAATACAGACCTTGTCAAATTAGGGTTTGGCAATAGATTGTGTGTGTACTTGTCTCATATGTGTGTGTGTTTGCATGCCGCAGTAACCAGGCAGTGAGGATGCTGGAGTGCAGAGAGAAACCCACACCGGATATGTTTGGAGAGCTGCTTCGCAACGCCAGCAACATGGGAGACCTGCGCAACTGTCCCGTGAGAGCATATACACTTTTTACACAGCACATACTCTTATTACAATGGATATCTTTCAATGAGAAGCATTATGTGTGATGATTACAGTAAGAGAGCCTCAGATATTTGGTTTGTGAAGGTGAATCCACTCCCTAAAACCAAACTAATTCACAATCCAAACCTTGACATTATCCTAAACACAACATGCCTTTTCTGATCTCCCATCACTGGCGCTGCTAGTTTGTTAGCACAACCTTTGGCTTTGCTCAGAGCCACAATATTTGGAGAGAGAAAAACAGGAGACTTGGAGGATGTTTGCTTGATGTTAAATTACTGAATAGACAGTTTGAAATTTGTCCATGCGCAGCCTCAGTCAGCTGAAATAATTGCACATACAGGTGCTGATGTTGAAGAACGTTGGCTCCAAAATGAAACGTGTGGAAGTCTTCCTTGTCTTTTGTTTCAGTCGGCCTGAGGTGCAGCTGACTTCAACAATATCACGCTGGCTGGTAAAATCTGCATCAGAGCATGAAAAATCTGCAAAACAATGCTAAATTTCAAAAAGCCTATATTCCTTGAAGAAGTGCCTCCTTTCATGCTACAGTTTTTAAACTGAAATCTTAATCCGAGAAGGGATGGAGTTCTAACTGTATTGTTCAGACGGCATATTTTGCTAACACGGCATACAAATGCAGGCAAAAACAGTATTGCCTTGGGAATAAAATTTGATCTTGATGGATTTGAGGGGCTGAGATGGTGTAGTGGCAGGGCAGCCAACTGGGGACCAAAAAGTTCCAGGTTTAATCCCCAGTCATTGCACATCTCGTTGTGTCTCTGAGCAGCACACCCTGTCCCCTACTGCTCCCCAGGCGCCTTCAGTAGCTGCCCACTGCTCCACCTGGTGGTGGATGGGTAAAATGCAGAGAGCCAATTTTGCCATTGTATCAATGATGACAACACATACATATTATTATTATTATTATTATTATTATTATTTTAAGGTCAAAACAAGTGACGTAAACAAAAACAAGATTTTAAACAACTTCAGCGAGAAACGGAACAAGTCATCTAAGTTTCACGTCAGCAGTCGTCTTGGCACTCGCTACATTAATAAAAGTGTGTTTGCCGTATTTTTGGGGGCTGTTTGAGTTTTCAGGAAGTAAAGCCTGAGCTTTTTTCCTCCAGTTTTGTCATTTTACTTTGAAGAATGTTACAATCTGCACCGTATCGTTTGACAAACGCGATTACGTAACTCACCGTTTTCTGGAAAGCTTTGCATAGTCACAGCCAAAATAATAATTAAAAAAAGCAAACTTTTTGTGTTTGCACTTGAGATTCAGAGATGGGACCTGCATCGACCAATGTTGTGAAGCTGAGTGAATCTGTTGGTACAGTTATTTGATGAACGCTGCCGTCAGCCTTTGAGTGAGACGGCACAGAGGGCTCGCCGAGGACTCCGTGTGCCGACCATGTGTCCTGAGCAAACAGACAGCCCCCGTCCCCGGGCTGCACAGTCTGGCTGCTGCTCCCTGGCCTGTGTTTGTGTCCCTTTCTGAGAACTGAGAAGCGGTCGCTGGCAAAACCCCTTCCTGCCATCTCTAGTGGCAGTGCGAGGCGGCACGCTGCCCACAGAGGGAGCGTTCTGAGCGTGGTTGTGCAGAATACGAGTGTGTGCATGTGTGTGTGCGTTGTGTTTGGCAAAGCGTCTGGTTGCCGGGGTGTTCTCAGGCTGTTTCCGAGCTCATTCTGCCAGTGCTGCGTGCATGTGTGCAGGCTTTTATCTGAGTGTGTGTGTTTGTGTGCACCAGCTCTGCGGTGGGTCATGACTCAAAGGAAGGATTCAGAACACACAGTTCTGAACTTAACAGAAGGCCCGAGGGACAAATACAACTCAGCACAGCGTTTTTTCCTCTTTTCTGTCGATCTCTCTTCGGTTTCTGTCGTTATCCTGTGTCTCCTGCTTTCATCTCTGCTTTCTATTCTCTTATTCTCCACATTGTTCTGACGTGTCTCTGCAGGCATGTTTGGGCTAATGACGAACAGATGAAGGAGTGGTTTTGGTGAAGTGCACTCTCATAAAGCATGATAAATAAACCTGTTTACCCACACATTCATTTTGCTCTCCTCTTCTCCTGTTCTTTTTTTGATCCCAGAGTAACTGTGGGGAAATGTTGCGTATCCGCCGGGTGCTGATGAACTCCCCGGAAATTGTGTCCATCGGGCTGGTGTGGGATTCGGACCACTCCGACCTCGCAGAGGACGTCATACACAGCCTGGGAACCTGCCTGCGTCTGGGAGATGTAAGCAGCTCAAACACTGAGCACACTGTTTGAATGCTGAAACACCAACACACTGTTCCACTTGCATTGTCATGCAATTTTACAAAAACATGGAAATACTTCGGTTTCTTTAGTTAAAGGAACATTGTGATGCTTCATTTTGTACAAAATGGTTCAATACAATACAATATAACACAATACAACATTTTTTTATTTTTCATTTACCTTTTATTTATACAGGTAGTCTCATTTAGCCACGAGAACTCATTTTCAAGAGAGACCTGTTTAGGGAGCAGATGGTGGGGGTTAAGGGCCTTGATCAGGAGCCCAGAGTGGGGCAAATGAGGGTGGAGGCAGGTGTGGGTGTTTCACCTTTTCCACAATACAATACAATACAACGAAACACAATACAACGCAACTCAATACAATACAACGAAACACAATACAATACAATACAGTACAACTCAATACAATATAATACAACAATATAATACAATACAATACAATACAACACAATGCAATGCAATGCAATACAATAAAATGCAATGCAATGCAACTCAATAAAATGCAACACAATACAATGCAATAAAATACGACGCAATAAAATATAATATAATACAACTCAATACAATGCAACGCAATACAATACAATATAATACAATACAATACAATACAATACAATACAACGCAATGCAATAAAATATAATATAATCAACTCAATACAATACAACACAATACAATGCAATGCAATAAAATATAACACAACTCAATACAATACAATACAATACAATGCAATACAACAACGCAATACAATACAATACCACACAACACAGTACAACTCAATACATACAAGTCAAGTCAACTTTATTTATAGAGCACATTTAAAACAGAACCTGTTATCAAACAGTTAGCAACTCAATACAACACAACAATGCAATACAATACAATACAACACAATACAATAAAACTATACAATATAATACAACACAATACAGCACAGCACAACATGATACAGTACAATTAGATGAATGCCATGCAAGATGATACAAAAAACAACACAGTGTGAAATAACAATAAATTAGATACAAGATTAAATAATACAATATGCAATGCAATAAACATAAACGCATAACAAAACACAATATCATATATAATTTACTTATAACATCTATAATTTAAATATAATTATAATTTTAATGTCAATGTCAATTTTAATTTATATAGCACATTTAAAAACAACAGTGTTGACCAAAGTGCTTCACAAACAGGAACTCTAGCAATAAAATAAATGAAAGATCAAACTTTAAAAACACAAGTATAATAAATTAGGCTAAGAATGAACTAAAACAAGAAAATAACACACTGAAAAGGTTCTGATGGAAACTCAAGACCCAACTAGAATTAAAAGCAAGTGCAAAAAGTGAGTTTTTAGGCGGGATTTAAAGGACTGTACGGACTCTGCAGAACATTACATTTTGTAATTTCATTTATATTATTATTTTGTGATCTTTTATATACAGTATATATGTATCATTTAAAATAACTTCTCAGTGGGATTAGCCACAAAATACGAAGCTCCCAGTACAAACACATTTGATGAAGTGGTGGCCTTCAATAAATGTTGTGAACTTCATATTCACTTTTTCCTTTAAAAAAAACTCCAAAGTCTTCCTTTATTGAAGGGGCTCAGTCTCGATCTGGTGAAGCAGTTTTGAAGGTTTCAGGTGTTCATTAGGTTGAACAAGAATTGTGTCAAGATACATACAACACTATGTACAATAAAATACAATAAAACTGAAAATAATACAACAAATACATTACAATACAGTAGGATACAATGAAAAATAAACAAGAAAACATGATGCAATACAACACTATGCATTACTATACAACCCAATGCAATATTTTGCAATACAGTGTAATATGCAATATGATAATACCAAATGATATAATATATTTTAGTGTCCTTATGGGGACGTGATGTAGACGTTTTGATCTAAATATAGACTTTTAACCAGTTTGTTGGGGCTCCAGTCTTGAACATGAATAAAATGAACAAAACTTGAAAGTTTTCACAAACATTGGAAGTTGCTAATGCTACAAATTTAACATGCATTTGTAAACCTTACATTAACTTAAACCCATTGAAATAACAATCCAAAGTGTTACCTAAATCATGTACAATGTATGATTTTTAAAGACAAAAATGGTAAAAATCCATCTTTATTTTTATATGCCAGAGTTTTTAGTTCAGCTATTATCATTTGAAGTGAAGATGAATTTACTTGGAGCTTGCACAGCAGAATGATAAGTTTTTAGTGTCGTGTACGAGTTTAAGCGTTGCCACGGTGACTCATCCTCAGGCTGAAGTTCCAGGGAGTTTTTCCACAAAGGTGTTGGCGCTGTGTGGGCACCGAGCGGCCATGCATGACCTGACCTTTTCCCATAAACTATACAAAGGTCAAGTCAGTGTGAGGCAGCAGCTGCCTCATGAATGAAATGACCTGATGTGCTTTCAGAAGAGACAAAAGGTTAAAACTGATTAAAGAATATCTTGTTTGTGTCATCTGCAAGGTAAAAGACCAATTTTGGAACCAAATATAAATAATGCACATGCAAATATGCATACACATGAATATGCATAAATATGTACACTTACTGTAAAATGATAAATTCATACACAAGATTGAATCAATGACCAGTAGAGAGTATTTGAAAGCTGAATTTAGTCAAAGCTCTCATTTAAAGTTAATATTTTCTGCTAATTTAGACCAAATTGAACCCAACGAATATATTCCTTATTCATTATTTCATTAATTACAAAAACAGCTGAAATTATGTCGTTCACACACATTTTTTTAACCAATTCCTCGTCACCAGAGTTGGAGTTATAACGTCAAAATTTAAAAAACAAATAAGCATATGCAGATAAATGTTTGTTATACTGCAGGTCTAATTAGACGGCTGGGTGAGTTTTTTTTTTTTTTTTTTTAACTGCATGCACATCAGCTGTTTATTTGCTGCCAGAGTTGGTAAAATCTTGACCGAAAATGAAGACATTTTTTTTTTACTGTAGAACAAAGTTGTTTACTTCTTGATCAAGTTTAGACTCGCCTTGACATATTTTAAATGTACATTTTAGATGCATTTTCCAACCTAAAAATCTCCCTAATGATGTGCACAGTACCATAATTCCCAGACTATAAGCCGATACTTTTTTCACACACTTTGAACACAGAGTTTTATACAATGCTGCAGATAATTTATGGATTTTTTTTATGGGCTAACGAGCCTCATGCTGCCAAAACATTTAGGCTTGTTGTAATACGCAGGCACTCACATAGCTGCCCAGTACACGTCTTCCATTTTTATTTTTTTTTTGGGGGGGGGGGGGG